TTCGCCATCGAACATAATGTCGAAATCTATCACATCACTAACCATTTACCGGATTAGTTATTATAATTGAAACATCTAATATTTTGAAAATATCTCAGCGCAGATAAATCGTATTAATCTTGATCTTTTTTTAAAGATGTATCATGAAATTTTCTACAAGAATGATAATGAGAAATTCTATTGAGTTAGTTCGATTGTATTTTTTCTAGGACTAAAAATGAAAATAATCTCGATTATTGTACTTATATATATAGACATAAACAAATAATAAAACCTTAAATTATTTTTTTTACATGGGTTGTAGTATCCCTGCTGTTTTTACATTAAAAGAATTTTTCAATTGGGCCGATGAATTTTTTAGATGACAAAAAGTAAAGACCTTGGTGATATCGTTATTGCCCTATATAAAAACGTGGAAAACCTTCAGAAACTTCAAAGAATTAATCTTTTGGCTTGCCCATTTTGTCTCCTTCCGGGTGATTTATGTCCATTAACCGAGCTGCTTTGACTCAATTGTTATATCCAAAAATGAATCGTAGCACAAAGCAACTTATTAGCCAACATGCTTTAGATATCAGAAGTTTTCTTCCTGTTCTTATAATCGGCAATAACAATATCAACAAGATTCAAAGATCATTTTGATATAAAAATAGTAGAGATTCTATGATACATGTAAAAAGAATAATTTTAGGTTTTGTGATTTGTTGATGTCGATATATATGAAAAATAATCAATGTTATGTTTATTTTTAGCTTTATAAAAAAAAATCGTCAAACCAACTCAATACGATTTCGCATTACTATTTTTTTCTAGAAAATTTCATGATGCATTTTGAAAAGAAAAATCAAGATCATACGATTTATCTATGATAAGATATTTTCAAAATACTCGGAGTTGTAATTATTATTATTCATTCATCATATTATCTTGATATATTTAATCCAGATATAATCTATGAAATGATTATCAATTTACTAACACTGGATTTTCTTGATTTTACATTATAAAAGATTTTATTCATCAATGTTCAAACTGTATTATTTAATCTAATCATATGATCATTTTCTTGTTTATTATTCTTATTTTATTCATTGTTTCATACAATATATTACACAACTATTTTTTTAAACAAATCTATCCATTAATCGATCATCAACAATAGAGTGATCGTGCTAATAGCTAAAGCATTGTACGTAAATAACCTGAAAAGAATTAAAATTACAATAGTTCTTTTTTCGTGTCTATCATGTTGCTTTGACAATTTTATCAAATAATATCAGATCTTGATTAAAATATATATCATTATCTATTGATGAATATATCTATATTAAAAATATAAATATCATAGCATTGAATTGTTATTCCTCGTGATTGAAGAGTATTGATTGATCAGTGATCTTTCACATGCAAAAGTTAATCTGCTTTATGTTTATTCACGTTTCTTTCTTTTTCTGATTGAGTGCCATGCAAATTCTTCTATTAAAGAAACATTGTTGATTTATATAGCACTAGCGGTCAGAAGAACATGAAGTGGCACGCGTACATATGTTCATTTGTATATGTAATAACAATAGTTTTGGGCGGATGTACCTGCATATGTATAGAATGAAAGAAAGAAAAGGAAAAAGAAGAAAAAAAGATGATGAATTTGTAACTACTAACGGCATTTGTCTATTGTCAAAATGTTCATATGCTGTGTGCTATTCTCTTTCTCATTAGGGTACAAGAAGCCAAAATGTTTAAGTTTTTCTATTATTTTCTTTTCTTTCTTTCGTTCTTGCGTTCTGTGCTCATATGAATATTAACGTTGTGCATTCAGCGTTTTTGTTTCTTTTTTTTTTCTCTCTCCTTTTCTACTATCTTTCCTTCTTTTTTTTTTCTTTCTATTTGGTCATCCCGTCGACACAGTTCTGTTACTATTGCGGTGCAGCACAAACTCACCCATCGATAGTTGTAAAATTATTATCTACGTTCATGTTTTTTTGTTTTGTGTGCAAATACAAATAGGTCGATTTGAGCATTAAAATATTCATTCATTCTTTAAATTTTGTCCTATTTACTTGTTATAAATCAACTGCGATATAGAAAAAAAGAACATCAACAACAATTATCGAACGCATGTTGTTTAAGATTTTTTTTCTGACATTCTTATTTTTAATTAACTCTTTCATACAATCAACAACAAGTGCTCTATCAAACAACATACAAAATCTTGAATTTGATGATATTACATCACTATGGGATAAATTTCCATCCATTATTGATAAAATAAAAGAGACTGGTATGTTATACTTTTCTTATAAAAAGAATGGCCTTAAATGTGAAGGACTTCCTAAAACTAATATTTGATATCTTTTAAAAAAACTGAAATTTACTTTGCATTCGATCAAACCTCATTATGTGTTAATGATTGAGTATATGTGTACATGATGATATACATTACAAGAGATCATATTTCTAATCATGTAGGACACTACGACGTCTATTGTATATAGAGCAGCATAAAATTAACATATCTGTGCATAAGAGTATTATTCTTTTTTCGATATCGTGTTAATACTCTTTTATAAAGATTAACTTAGATTTTGATATTTTAGATGAGTTCTATGTTCCAAAAACGACTTTTTGTAAAAAAGAAAATAATAATTTGTTTGTCTTAGATATTTGAACATTTATAAAGAATCTAATTATTTATTTATCTTGATTTAATTTATTCGTATTATGGATTATTTCATTTTTCCCTTTGTCAACAAGATCTTTAGTTTCTCAAAAATGAATATTTCTTAAAATAAAATACAGCTACTAAATGATTTAAGTAGCACATTGCTTTGTAACAAGTTTTCGTGTATTGCATTTATTCATCTACGCAGCTATTTAAAAAAAAATAGCTGATTTACTTGTGTGATGTTTTACATTTTCGGTCTTTTGTTTTTGTTAGTAAGCATGCAGAATATTCTTGTAATGGCTGATTATTTTTTTTTACTAACATTGGATGCCTCTTAGAGTTTTTCGTTTTATCACAGTCTAATCTCTTCCTAATAAATTTTATTACTGTACACTTGAATAGTTTATCTATTGTTGATTCATTATTATTTTTCTATTTTGACTAACAGAAATGTACATTTTCGAGAAGAAAGTTACCGAACACTTCAAAAATGAATCGTTCTTATTGAAAGATAAAATAACAGTAAATATACTGCTACAATATCTATTTATTATTCTGTTCTTTTAATGGTTTTATTTCATATTGTTCAATTCAAATTAAGGAATCATTTTAGAAATATTTCTAGATTTATCTTCTTTCGACATAATTTCAACATTCAATATTTAATTTGAGTAGTTTTCGATTTTTTCGTCAACACTCACTAAACAAATCTCCAGAGAATTTCAACAGGAGTTCCTCTCGAAATTCGCAAGGCACTCCCTGAGGACTTACTAGAAATTTCATAAAAATCTACAATGAGAATTATAACCGCTGTAAATTGTCATATACGATGACTTTATCATCGTATCCATATGTATCACTTGCCAGTGAGAAAGTGGTGACTTGTTGGGTAGTTTTTTCTTTCGTAAATATAAAAATACAATTTATTATTTTTAAATAATACTTTCTTTTGCAGTTGTTCTTGAAATAAACCCAAACAAAAAAAAAACATATTTCATTCGTTTTTTAAATAGAGACTATCGTTGTAATTTTCGTTGCTACTCATCTAAATAGAAAACAAAAAGTGTAATTTATGTTTGTAATAATATTTACCATTGCAATTGTTATTGAAATTGATGCAAATAACAAAAATACAAGCGATTTTTTGAAATAGCACTTACCATGGCAGTTATTGTTGCTTTTAAACTCAATGAAAAAAATTTAGAATTCAGTTTTTTTAAATAATATATTCCGTTATAGTTGTTTTTAAGATTAATCTAAACAAACAGAATAATATACCATATCTTAAAATAACATCTATTATCAAAGTTGTTGATGAAATTAGTATCAATAAAAAATTAGAATTAAATTTTTTGAATTGATATTTGCCGTTGAAGATGTAGTCAAGATCGGTCTCAATAGACAACATATAATATTTATTGTAACTTTTTAGCCTAAAATTGAAATCGTCTAATATTTATTCTTGAATTTCTCTTTTGTCTTTGTAATAATCTGATGTTTCTACCATCAATTATTTGGTTATAGCTCTCATTTATGAACAGATATAATTTAGAATATATTTCAAATGTTTATGCACTTTATACAATAAAATTACAAGAAAAATAACTCGTGAAAAAGTCTCTTACACGAGGACTCATTCGGGATGTCTCAGAAAATTACCGGTAACTCTGAAAGGAAGAGTCGACTAGGATATAAATAAAAGAATGATTTCATGATATTCTTCTTTCTTATTCAGTCACATATACTCAATCTTCCCATTCCTTGCTGAAAAAAAAAACGTCACAATATATTAGACCCAAATGGTATTTAAATCAGTATGAATATGTTATAAAATAGTGCTTGAAACTAAATAGTTATTCATCGAAGTATTTTCAATTTTGGCGTTCCTTGCTTAAAGCAATTCACTTAGAATAAATCAGCAGCTTAATGTTTATTAAAAGTATATCACTAAAATATTCTCTTACATATCTCTATTAGCTACCCAAACTAAAGAAAACAGTGTTGTTAACGATCGTAAATAGTACAAGAGAGCGAAAATCGGCGTCTTTGCATTGCTGTTTTTCGTAAGTTTGTAAAATAAGGAAAAAAGTAGAAGAAACGATGATTGCTTGCTGACAAAAAAAAAAAAAGAATAAACTGACGGACTACGATAAAAATTAATGCATTAATATGCAGTTGCCGATACTCAGAAGGATCGTTCTGGTTATATTTATCAATTTTCCTCTATACAAAAATGATATCTCTTTTGAGAATAAGTTATTAAGATCATAGTATCGATAGTTATTCATCATTATTAATCTTTATGAACTAACAATTTAAAATTATATATCAAAAGATGTTACTTTTTTTTGTTTATGTTTATCTTTTAGTTAATCGATTTCGTTGTCCAAAAGGATGGAAACGTTTAGGTGGTTCATGTTATTATCTTCCTAATCTCACATCGATATCTATTGCTGCTAATCGTACATGTAATCATCTTCACTCTAATCTTTCAAATCTTATACAAATACGAAATGCAGTTGAACTATTCTATGCTGTTCATGTATTAACAAGAAATGATTTATCATCTTTGATGATTTCTATTGATCCAAATTTATTTAAAGGTAAGTAATGTCTTTTTTTCTTGAGGTGAAAATAAAAGTAAAAAAACATGAAAAATTTCTTTTTAAGGTAAAAAAATTGCAGAAGTGTTAATGAATGATCAGGGTCGATGGAATCGAATGAAATCAAAATTTCATGAAGTACGTGTTAAATATAGAGATTTAAAACAAAAAATTGTCGATCGATTAAGTTCAACTGGTTTACGTATATTAACACGTTCGAAAAAAGTGAAACAAATACCATCTCAACAACCTATGATTCATAATGAAAATCAATTCAATGATAAACTATCAAATATAACAAATATTAGTTTTTCAAATGAAACAACAATAAATGCTGGTTTAGTTACTACTACTACTACTACTAATAATAATAATAATGATGATGATGATGAATATGAATATGATGATCTTGATTCATCAGATGAAAGTGATGAATTTGAACAAATTGATGATATTCATGGCATTTGTGATCATATTGCTTGGAATGCTTTAGATGATAATTCAACTGTTTATATTCTAACAACATATATTGTATCAGATAAAGTTGTTTGTTCACTAAGTGATGTTGAATCTGATATTGAATATCATCATATTTGTGAATATGGTTTGTAATTTCAATATTAAATAAATCAAATAGAGTATTTTGTTTCTAATATATAGTACTTGATTTTTGTTTTGCAAATATTATTTGTGGTAAACATGGACATTGTGTCAATACATTATCAGGTTTCAAATGTTCGTGTTCATTTTTGTATGGTGGTCTTATTTGTGACAAAAGTATGTAACCGATAAAGTGACTTTTATATATGTATATTGTGAATCATTACATTAATGAGAGTAATTATTTCGCCATTTAGAAAAATTCTTAATAGTCATTAATATCTTTATTGAAAAAATAATTTTCTTATTGTTTTCAGTCTCAGATCATGGTCGACAAATTATAATTAGTCTTGTCTTTATTCTAATTCTTACTGCTTTATCGTTGAAACCAGTTCGACGTATATTATGGTATATTATCAAAAAATGCATTAAGTGAGTTTTCTTATTTAGTAAAAAAAACCTTTTTCGTATGGTAAAGTTCTTTTAGAAATCAAATATAAATTTTTCGAAATGCTTTAGAAAAGTTACAAAGATAGTAGTTTTGAGTTTAGGTGTACACAGACGCTGATAGAAATATGAATGATACCCTTTTTCGAAAGCATGCTTTTCTGCTTTCTATTTAAATAGCCAACAATTTTCGTTTTGTGTTCATATTTCACTTATGATAGAGTATTATCAGAGCAATCCTACCTGTTGTTTTTGAAGGAATGACATCTCCTGTCATGCGAGGAAATAGAGCTGTGAAAGTCCCATGCACGGAATCTATTTAACAAAGGTTTTCTTAATAAATATTAGAATTCACTATATGAGCATGAGAATTGAACTAATTATATTGATTAATTTCAGTAAAATAAAAAATATGAATATATCTTCATGATAAATAAATATCTATTTTTCTAATAGATATTGTAAAAAGTGTCGTCAAGCACATGAACAAACAAAAATAGATAGCAATGATGATAGACAACACCTAGTATCCAGAGATAGGTAATTATCTTTTGAATTTATAATTAAAACAAATAAAAATTATGTCTAAAGATCAGATAACGATATAAAAATCACTGATGCAGCTCATTTACAACAAGTCAATGGAACTTATAATCTACAAGAGCGTCGTCCGACAATTGCTCAAGAAATTATGGAATTTCTGTAAGTTACTTATCATCGATTAAAGGCCCATGTCTTTCTTTGTTTGAATATCCTAGACAAGAAATCTATCAATGCATAACGTATGCAATATCTTAATTTCTCTTGATAAATAAAAATTTTAAACACAATAGATAATTAAATGCACTTGTCTAACTTAATTTATAACTATATAATTATTAATAATTCTCTGCTAAGATAGTTTTTCATTTAATTTTCAATATTGAAAAATTTTATTATGTGTTTTTTTTTAAGTCTACCAAAAAATCCAAATCCATTATTAAATCCAATTAAACGTAATCTTGTTCGTAACATCTGGGTTGGTGTTTTAAGTTTATCACTTTTATCAATCTTATTTCTAATAACAACAATAATGTATTTGAAATCATTTGTATATTATATAACTGATGAAAAAGAAGGAGAACTTTCAATTAATGATACAATTTATTTAGTTAAACAATGTGAAAGTATATCAGATTATCGAAGAGGAAATTTAATATTTTCTCCTTTTGCATTGACTTTAATACTTATTTTTTCTTGGTCAATGAAACGAGATGAATTATGTTTACATATGTGTGATGGTCGACCTGGTAAAACATAAATTTGACTTTTTTTCTATTAATGAAATTTTTTCGTTAGGTTTATTACCACCAATTGAACCATTTCGTACAGGAAATCGTTTTACAACAGCAACTGTTTTTGGAATCATTGCATATGAAGTATTAAAAATTTTTGAAGAACTACTTTTCAGTGCTAGTGAACCAGCACATCAAGGTGTACTTGTTGAATTATTGGAACGAATAGCCGTAGTCATTCTTGTCGGGTATAGGATTTCGAAGAAAAACAAACTAATTATTTTTTTAATATTGATTTATTTAGACTTCGATATTATCCGGTGCTTGCTTCTCTACAATTACGAAATATTATTGCTCGTTTTTTCTCTTGTTTATATATACTCTGTGATATTGTATATACCATTATACGAGAAGGTTCATGTATGGGGTTTCTACCATTGTCAGGACAATATACTGTTTTGGAAGAAGCAAAACTTCGAAGAGTAAGGAAATGAAATTGAATACATTTAAAAATCATGAATAGGTCTCAGATATTTGTATTTGAGTACTGTTTTCTGTTATTGTTTGAATTATTGTATAACATAGGATGTACAGTAGTGAATAAAAGTCTTCACTCCACCTGATCTTAGCTATCATACATGTTAGAGATCTGAAAACTTGTGCATGCATGCTCTACTGAGAATGTAGATCGGCAGCAAAGTCGTACTATAGTTGCTTAAAGGTACTCTCTTCTCTCTTTTGAACTACATTTGCTTCTCCGCAAAAGTATAGCGGGTAAGGTGCAAATCTTTTTATCATAGCTAGATTATCGAAAATGATGGAATCTATTTTCGAGGAAAAAATTTTAACAACAAGTCTTTAGAGTTTTTTGAAGATACATGGGACAGTCTCAGAGGTATTTTTCAAAAAAGCTTAAAAATACTTCTGAGATTTTGTTCTATGTATCTCTAGAAAAAAGTTCAATTCAATCGAATAGATTAATATCGAGATCATAAGCAGAGTAGATCCTTTTTGAAGATTCATTTGGAAATCCCTGAAGATCTGCTTTTAAAATATTTTCCTCGAACATAAACCATATCATTTTCGATAATCTAGCTATGGTAAAAATTTGAACCCGATCAAAAGACGAACTCGTTTACTAGAACATTGCTATCACCGCATGTCTCTTAGACTTCTATACTGATACAATAATCATTATCATGCTATTTTCTTTTAGTACAAAATCATTTTCTGAGACTTCTAGGCGATAATGTTTATCTATTGACGAAATTTCTCCAGAAGTTGGAACTCATTTGATTGAATTATTACTGAGTTACGATTTCCAAGGAGCAGCAGATAGTTTTTCTTCAGACTAGCGACCAGGGCTCGAAACGGGCCACTTTTTTATGGTTCGGGCCGGCCCAATGCGGCCCAAAACTAATTCAAGCCCGCCCGGCCCGGCCCATCAAAGTATTAGGCCCACCCGGCCCGGCCCAGCATATTATTAGGTCCGCCCGGCCCGGCCCAGACCTGNAAAATTCGAGATAAGCGTCTACGATAATAATTGTTTAATAAATTCCAGATTTACTGACATCTAATATTTTCATAAAAGAAAAACCTACCCCGGGCCGGGCGGCCCGAGAAAAATGTTGGCCCGCCCGGCCCAATAGTTTTTCGTCGAAGGTCCGCCCGGCCCGGCCCGGAGAGATGGTTGGGCCGGGCCGGGCTGGGCTGGGCCGGGTCGGACCAGGCCGGGCGGCCCGTTTCGAGCCCTGCTAGCGACTATAATTCTAGAAAGGCTTAATTAACTTTTATCAAATCCATAGCCGTCTATAGTTGAAGCGTAACATTGCACAATGAAGAATCTTCTAAAACCCATCCCTTCTTTTTCAACATTATGAAGTTCAAAAGAGAAATGGATACCATCCAGTAATATCCATCATAATTTTCTTTGTTACGTAAGTCATCAAAATATGCTTGCGTCTCTAACGTATATTCTTAGTGACGTATATGCATACAAATTTTTCGATCTTCAGCACGTATATTATCTGAAATAGGGTAGGTTTGGAAACTTTTATCTATTGCTTGTATATTAAATGTGAAAATTGAATTCGATTACGGAATTTTTGATAAATGAAGATTGGAGAATCTAGTATCAAAAATACTGACAAAAAACATCTTAACTGATAAATGTATGATTTTTTTCCATAGTTCATATTGAGTTTATACTACTGATATTTAAGAAATTTTGGTTAAAGATAAAATTAAGAAATTGTTTAAATTAATTTTTAGGAACTTGGTACATGGTTTATTATCTATGGTTTAATAAAAAATATTCCACATTTCTTTTTTCTTTCATATATTGGTGCTGAACTATGTGTGCGTTTTGTCTATGATTCAATATATGTACCGATAAAAAAAAAGAAAAGTATTTGGTCAGCACCTATTGTACAAACAGATGAATTAGAATTTGTAAAATATTATGTTACAAAATTATTTCGACGTAATCGTCATATATCTCGAATGAATACTCAACAATATACAAATACTAATAATCTCATTGATTATGAACATGAAACATATCAAGAAAATCTTATTAATCAATCACGTGTTAAAAAATTCCTTAATTTTTTCTATAATTGGAGTGATGATTTTCGTTTTACAACTATTGCAACTTGTACTTATTCAGTAGCTTTCGTTTTTCTCTATTATTTGGCATGTACATTTTTTTTTCTATATACTTCAAGAACAACAGGACATATGACATTTATAAGATCTTATATTGAACATTCAGCAAATGTTGGTGAGTAGTTTGAATATTTTTGTTGAAAAATATGGTTTTAATTAGTTTTATTTTGATAATATAGAATTAGATGATTCATTTACTTTGCAACGTGAAATAATAATAAGTGCTGTTTTGACGGCAATTATATACGGATTTCAATTATTTGTTGGAATGCAAAATTATAAAAAACATAAACTACAATTATATAAAGGTATATATGAAGATATTCCAGCAGCAATAAATTTTAAACGAAGTTCAATAGCATCAAATTCTGTACATTATTCTGGTTTTCTTGTTGGATATATGGCATGGGGTTTTGTTATTTGTTTTCATTTAATACTTTTAATATTAATTGGAATAAAAATTCTTTCATTACAAATTCGTCAAATTGAAATAACACTTGCTATTATTGTACCTATACTTGTTATTTATTTATTAAAAATGCTTAGTATGACATCAGCTGGAAAGTTTATATTTATACAAAAGTTAAATAATAAATTGAATTTAAAAAGTCGTAAAACTTATGCAATATTTGTTTACTTCAGTTTTTTTGCTGGTAAGTTTTAATAATAATAATATAATGAAATATTCGTATCGTTTCATTTTTAAAGATTGTTTTCTCGGTATGGCTTCATGTATTATTCGATTGATTAAAGCAACATTTCTTAATGTAGTATTTATGGCTCGACTTGATTGGAGTTTTCTTGGAAGACCATTAGAAAAATTTGGTAAACTATTTAAGTTACACTCTGTTAGGAAGAGATCTGTTAATATTCATCTAATGTTAGAAAAGAAATTATTATAATTGACAAAAAGAGACGGAATGTAAGAATGGATCAGATAAGATAAATAGTAATCAAAAAGAACCATAGAATTCTGAAATATGTCTTTTACTTCATACAAAATTTGATAATTTATTCCTAATGTTTATATCATGAGGTGTTTGTTAGTAAACAGTGAGAAAATCATGTAAATCGACAAGCGATTTAGATTTCTTGAAATATCATATTCAGTTTAGAGCAACGGTGTTCATGGCGTCGTGATAATGACAGCTTCTTTTATAGGAGAATTTTATAGTTGCATAAATTTGCACCCGATTTGAGTATCTATAAGTTCAACAGTCAAAATCAAGATCAATCTGATGGATTCAATCGAACTGTGCTAACTCAATACAGTAAAATATGGTTTTGAAGAATTCCTTGAAAAATATTGTGATAGATATCTATGATATAGATGTAGTCAATTAAATAAAGCATTTCAATAACTATACTATCTCCCAAGGAAGGGAAACGGGTTACATAGAATCGATGAATTTATATAAATCAACATTTTATACACAACGAGTAATAAATCATTAGCGACTAACAATCAGAGGATTTTTACTTTAGTCAAAGAAGAGAAAAGATACAGATATTGAAATCTCATGTTCGAAAAATTCTAAAATATCTATCTTATGATTTCTGTTTTATACTATATCATATGTTAGATCTTGGTTTTGCTGCTTATGTTTCATATTTGCATATGGAAGTAACATATACAAATCCAGTAATGCTCGGTTAGTTCATTAAAACAACCACAAAATTCTGTTTTATTTTTATTATTATTATTTTTTTTCTCAGCTTTCTGTTATTCACTTTATGATGATATCATTCAACAGCGACCAAAACATTGCTATGATGATGAATGCTGTATTGCTCCAGGTGAACTTGATGATGAGGATGATATTGAAGCCGCAAGAAGAAATAAAATACAACAAAACAGAAAAAATTTAACACAGAATTTGCCACCAGTTACATATAAACGACGAAATAACTATGATGAATCAGTACAAGTTAGTAATAGTCCTAATGAAGATGAACCAATATCAAAAAGGACATCCCAAATAGAAACAAAGCGACAGCAAGCAGATCGTTTAACAACAGATATAATGCCGAAAACAGAATCGCAGCGCACATCGATAGTAAGCAAAAAAATAACTAGAATAGTATCATTTTGATTTTATACCATTTATATTTTTTAGATATCTACTAAGGAAAATCAAAAGAACATTGATACAAAAAAGAAACAACAACGTTCAAATACTAGTAATGAAGAAAAGGAAAGTAATGCTTCGAGTATTTCGAGATCTAGTTCTCAACAGCAATCATCATTCAGTCGTATTCCTCAAGTGCCAATTCGTGAAGATCTACCATTTGAACAAGATGAACGTAATGATGACGGAAGTTTGAAACGAAAATCATTTTCTAGTAATGTAAAACATATTCCACAACAAGAAGCACGTTTAAAATCAATTTCACAATCATCAAAAATAAGTATAGATAATCAAACAGACGAAGATGAAGATGAAAGTATATCAAAACGAAAGAATAAAATTAAAGAAAAAAAACAAAAAAACTTAATCAAATCTCAAATTCATGAAGATGAAGATGAAGACGATAGCCTATCCAAACAAATAACAATAGGAACTGAAAAGAAGAAACAACGACCGGAAACAAGAAAAAGGAAACTACAACAAAAAGCGATGATTGAAGACAATAATGATGATGCACCAAAACAACAACAATCTAACAAAAAGAAAATTTCACATAAATCAAAGAAAGATATTTCTAAATCAAACATTTCAAAAGAAGATGACGATAGTGACCGCACTAGTACAACTTCTAATACTAATAAAATGATAATTCCATCTAAAAAACCTATATTAGATAATCAAATAATAAAAGAAGATTCATCATCCGATAATACTTTTGAAAGTAATACGCGATCATCTAAACATCAACAAGATACAACTTCAACCTCGTATGACACTGTTTATAAAAAAACACGAAAAAAATCTGATATTAATCAAAATACAAAAGCTAAAATGACTACAGAGAAATATCATCAAGACACAGTTCTAACCGATGAAGAACATACTGCTGTTCAGGCGACAATAATCTATTCTCCACCATCATATAATTTAGCAACAAGCCCATTTGATTTATATCTTTTACGAACAACTTCGTATCGTGAAGCTCAACAAAGTACACCACCACTAACTCTACATCGACCACTTATTTCTCCTATACAACGTTCTCATCAAGATGAAAATGACGATAGTCATTATTCGGAAATAGTAAATGATACAATTCGATCAGGCATTAGTAATCGTTCTTACTCAAAAGTGGGATCAATAAAAACTTCATCGGATTATTCAAATAAACAACAAGAATTGGAAGAGCAAAAACAAGCTGAAGATACCAATGCTGAAACGGAAGAACAAGAAGAACAAGAACACGACGAATCTCATCTTTTAAAATCACAACCAATGCCATCACCTAAAGTGCCAACATCTACTTCGACAGTGAATACTTCAATCAAGTCAGAAAAAGATATAGAAAAGGAAAGAAATAGACGAAAAAAACAATTACGTTTTCGTTGGCATCTTCTTTACACACTTATTAGAAATTATCATCTATTTGATTTACGAAAAGAAATCCAAAGTCGACTTGCACATTTACATTTACAAAGAAGTAATCTTATTGATGAACAGCAATTTCTAGCGGCTATTACAACTGAAGAACCAGAAACTACTAAGCCTACAATAGAACCTCCAGTAGTAAGAGCACGTGAAGGGTAAGTTTACTCTATATTTTACGTCTTAAATATTTTATTAGAAAAAAAAAAGAAGATATTCATTACATAGAAAACTTTCGCTTCTTTTCAGTTTAAACCTAAAACATAGATATCTATCGCGGTCCTACAAAAAACAAGGTTATCACGATGGTTTCCGAAATATTCTTTGAAAATCTCTCCTATTTCTATGATAAATCAGCACAGTTAGAGTGAATCCATCTAGTTCACCATGATTCTGACACTTGGACATGTAGACACTGAAATCAGGTGCAAATTCATGTAATTTTACAGTCTCTCTAAGAAAAAAGCTGCCACTGACACCGTCGTGGTCGTACCGACTTGAACATCTTCGCTTCAAAATTAAAGCATCGACCGTTTTATTTGAACAAAACAAATTAAAGGAAATTTGTCAGTTTTCAGTATCACATATATATATATCTTCAATTTAATTATTTTAAGATCGTACGGAAAACATATTTTAAACTAAAACAACAACTTTTTTTAAATATTTTGATTGTTTGTTTTTTCTTCTTTTAGCATAGAATCATTAACATCAGATATATCAACACCAATAGAACGACGGCCTCCACTAACTCGTCGTTTATTATCTATGCCTGTATCTCTACCTAGTGATTTTTCGCAAAGTCCAGCTGAACGATATATTGCAAATCGTGCACGCATGTTATATGATGTTATTGCCGAACAAATGAATACACCTCATATTTCACCTGTATCACAAACACCTACAATAATATCAACATATAATCAACAACAACGACCTTTAATGACTACGACCTTAAGTGATAAAAGTCTTGGTTTTCATGTTTCACCTAGTGTTATTGTTCATCCACCATCTGATACTAGTACGAAATCAAGAGAGAAACAACTAAATGATTATCCAATCAGATGTGGATTACAACGAGAAAATCTCACACCATTATTATTTCAACCCGTATCTGCCTCAAATCAATCCACGGCTGATTATCCACTAGCAACTTCGTCAATTTTAACTTCTCCAACATTCTGCACACAAATGAGTCATGATCAACATATGCAAGCATGGCGTCAAAATCAAGTAGAAAAACTTCAAAAAAAACGGCCACATTGTTATATTTATGGTACACCATCACGACAACCTTTAGTAGATAGAGTCTCCACTGCTACCATTCTCACACCGCAAATTCTCATGACTACAACACAACAACAAGCTCCACCAACATCAGATGATGGTGAAATTCGACGAGGACCAACTGTTTCACCATTTCGATTTGTAGTTACACCAGATCAAGTGCATACTGCACCATCATCTACTATAAGTGATATTCAAGTAGAAACTAATAATCGAAAACCGAAAAGAAATCGTCGACAGAAAAAAACTCCTATTGCATCAAAACGTATGGAACGTCTTGATGAAGATGTTCAAGAAACATCTAATGCAAACAAATCATTAAAAATAACATCATCAGTAATTCATCGAAACGATGTACACAGTAGTTCATCTGATGCAACTTAAGCTTAAGCTTTCATTTTTTTTTTGTTATTGTTATATTACATGAACTTATTAGTCATGTAAACTTTTCTTTTTGTTTTTATTGCCATTTTCAGGTTATTTTGTATATAAATTTAGCAAAGAAAACATAGAAAAAGCGATCTATTGTTTTCAATATTGTGAAGAAAGAAAATAATAAGTTGTTTTGAAAAATTAAATCTCTTTTAATTAACTGAAAAGTATATTTTAATAATTAAAATATTGCCATAGAACGGACAACTTATATTAATCGATGCTCTCTTAATGCTAATAAAAGATAAGGGTAGTCTTGCTATAACTTTAAAATTTTTACTATGTCTGGAAAAAGTTCATATTATAAATTTTGTGTTTTAAACAAGAAAGTTAAACTGACTGTCTCATTCTCTTTCATTAAACTCTTCAGTACCCTTGCAACAGAAATGTCATAATATTCATATACTGAGTAGCGACGAGCTACAAGTCCTGCTATCTAGCAAACCAGATATCCGACTCTGTACCTTAATACATATGGAGTTGAGAATTTTGAGTGAAATTGGTGTCAGAGTGGGTATTGGGCGTGAGTCTGGAGCAGAGTAACGCTGTCGATATTTAGATTTCTAGACGGAGAAGAAGTATCAATATAAAAGTTATCCTCACGCCCCTATCTCAATATCCTAAACTCTGAAGACATATGAGTATGGAATTGGATATCTAATTTGCTGGATATCGTCACTTGTAGCTTTTCGTTAGCCAGTGCATGAATATGACAGCATCCATTCATGGTCTAATTACATTTCTATTTATTCTATACTTGTAACTTTAGTTTATTCGATCGATTAAGGAATAAGCATTGATGAACAGGTTATTTTTATTGGGTGTTTTTATATTCTCCGACAAATGAAATCTTTAAATCAGTAAGAAAATAATGAAGAATAAGATTTCAAAACAATGATGATTCATAGATTCATGAATTCTTGGTCTTCAGTCTATGTGACTCAATTTTATTTTGTTTGTGAAACTTTCCTCTAAATTATAGACAGTGACTACAATGTTAAAGTAATGGTTGAGAACAATATTAATTGTTTAGAGAAACGTAATCAGTAATCTGATAGAAATAATGCAATAAAAATTAAGATAAAGAAAAAAAGGTTTGCTAGTTTGAAATGATTGCAGATGGATGAAAAATATCATATCAATGATGTAATTATTGCTTGAATTATGCTACTCATGGAGAACATATTCGCTGTTTATGATCTTCATTCTGCATCGTCAAATGTTTCGTTTCTTGTCGCTTAAATAAAACATATATGTATGTATAATTAAATAATATCATATATTATACATTGGCTATTGTACATTATTGTTTTTTTCTTTAAATAATCGCTAAATGATTATGTAGTTCAAAACTAGTGTAAAAATATTCTTGAATATCAAAATTCACATATTTTTTCATTCCAATGAATATGATAAAGATTCATTGCATTAATTGTTCTAGTCTTTTGTTCGATAGAGCTTGTTCATCAACGAATAAATCTAACAATGATGTGAGAATTTTAAGAAAACTTAATAAAAAACAGGAAGCTATCCGTATAGATATTGATTTATATTAATACAGCAATGAGTATACATGAATATCAACAAACATAGACATTGGTATTACTTAGGGCAGTTCAAAAGTAGTGAAAGTGGTGCTTTAGTTTCTTATAAAAAGTTTAATGAAACTTTCTCTCTATATAACCTGATAGAAAAAATAATGCTCTATTTGCCTATAGTACTTGATCACACCTTAATTAATGTCATAATAATAAAATTTCGATAAGATGTGTTGTGTTCGCATGTGTCACGGTTCCATGAATGCTAGTGAGTATTTTTTGAATAACTTTTGATAGAAACAAGATAGAGAAATGCGATTTTCACCGTTGAAAAGAAAAAAGAAAGGCGCATCGAATCGGGCATTATAGATTTTTCTAATATTGATTTTAGAAGTATTTGTATTCACCTTTTTAACTGCCGGGAAAATGTTTTTTTAAGAAAAGGAAAAAGCATAAAAATTTGCTACAAAATCTGTATGAAAGACTCGACTAAAATACATGTTATTCATCTTAGCCTTTCACACTTTGTATATCTTCGTTTAGTGGTTTGAATAAAAAAAAACAAATAAGGAAACCCTTGAATATACGATTCGATGCGTCTTCATTTCCATTTGACAACGATGAAAATCGCAGTTCTCTGTCTGGTTTCTACTAAAATTTATTCAAAACAGTACTCACTCGTATTTTTTAAAAATCTTATCAAAATTTTTATTATTATGACATTAGTTGAAGTATGATTAAAAAGCATGGAAAAGTAGAGTATTCTTTTCTCTATCAGGCTATATAGAGAGAAAGTTTCTTTAAACTTTTATAAGGAACTAAAGTATCACTCTCACTACTTTTAAACTGCTCTAAGTATAATAAGTTTCATGAGCTTAAATTCAATAAAACCAGCCAATAAGATCATATCGTACAAGCACATCAGTCTGTTAATGCACTTAATTTAAAAGCAAAAATTGTTAGTATCAATGTAATGATAATCTTCATTGATAACGTTCCAGATAAATCGTACTATTTCACTTCGATCTGTTCAATCAAGACAAGACTATTTCTCAAAAATAACGATTCTTTGTTATAAAATTTGACTAGAGGCTTTCTGGATCGAGAAATGTGAATCTCTAATAGGTTCTTCGAAAATCTTTAGCGTCAATTTTCTGGTCAAGAAAAGCTTATTTCAAACAAATATCTCAATGTTATGAAATGTGAGTAAACCACAAAAAAAAAAGTCGAACTCAAGAATTTCGAAGAACCAACTAGAGATTTGAATTACTCGATCCCGCGAACCTTTAGTCTAGTTTTATAAAAATAAATCGTTATTTTCGAAAAATAACCTTGTCTTAATTGAACAAATCGAATTCAAATAGTATGACTTACACATAGCTATCATTTTGATTTCAAGTCTAATTGTACATATGTATCAGCAGCACAGTACCAAAAATATGTCGAAATAGTGCTGAGAGTGTTGATTTGCAAATTTTTTGACTACAGAATAGAATGAAGCTTTTCTTATAGACGTTTTCTATATTGAATGAATAATAAACAAAAGATGAAAACCAATTACAAATATTACTCTGATGAATATCACTTGAAACAGGTTCTCTTACATATCGTTTTCCTTTGGTACTTTTTTTTAATTACGAAGAATGAACATTTTAAATCGTTAAGTGTTTTAGCAGACAAAAAGGCATCGAAAAAAAATCTATCATAGTAAACACTTCATTCTCTTCTGATATGAAGTATAAAAACTTATTTTTATTGTATTTCACTTAATTTTTTTTTCAAAGATATCTTCTTGAAAAATATTTTGAGTATGTACATTATTTCAATCATCTATTAAATAATTGAAAAAAAAAATGTTCTTTTTATTCTTTTGATATTTTGAAAATAATATTTTGTATCGTTCAATAATTATATTAATCTAAATGTTTTATTTCATGGAATAGTTATGTGTTTGATGAAATGAATTTAAAATGATTGAATTATATTTGATAGAAATACAATTATTAAAAATCTCAGTGGTTTTGTAACGATCGTCTACAACTATTGTTGGAAGTTTAACTGTTTGAAATATAAAAAATTACTAAGTGTATTGTATTTTCATGAGAAAGATTGCGTCAGATTTAGAAGAATATTTGACAAAGTTGTATGCAAAAAACATAAATGATTTAAATTCTAAATAAAGAATTTAACAGAATCATCGTTACAAAAAAATGTTGGTCTACATTCTCAAAATTTGATATAAATAATCTTAGAGCAATCAAAATCTTTCTAATCTAAATATCAATACAGAGTGAGTAGCAGAGCTGTTTTTTTACTGATTAAATTGCAATATTGCTTTATTTATCGTCTAGAAAAGTCATAAATTTCTTGTCAAATAAGTATAAATCTGATAAACAACAAAATTATGTTTTGTAAAAGTCATACTCAAGTTTCGCAAAACAACTGGCAAAAAGTAAGTAAAGAATAAGAATGTCAAACACAGGTATATTCTGATTGTAAACATTTATTGTTTTAGTCAATCAAGAAAAAAAGAATAATTGAATAGGGTGTGGGATATTTTTTCATTTTCATTCTCATCGTTACACATATATCTATACTCCGAGCCACACTTACGGTATACTCTTAAAAAATCCCTTGAACGACACGCGACATTAGACTGACTCAAAGGATTTTTATATTCAATTTTAAAATGGAGCTATCTACACTGAGAATCTTAGTTATAGATGATTGGAAAGTTTTGAGACAAGATGTTTGTTCACTCGTAACGTATTTCTGCTCTCATGAAATCGGAACGTGCAACCTCTGCGTGGTATGAGAGATAAACTTGGTGATATCACTAAGGCCAATGCGCGTACGTAGAAGCTATCGGGCAGCAGCGATAGTGGATCGCTACGAGGCCACTCGGACTGCGCTGAAGAAGGAAATGGTAAACCACTTCAGTATTCTTACCAAGAACATTCAATGAATAGACAATCAACGAAGTTTCAAGTTATGGNTGAAGAAAAATGCCCGCAATCAATAGAACAAAACAAAAGCGTGATTATTTGTTTTTTTTCATTAAAAAAAAAACAAAATATGTACTTCGAAAAAGAATCAAATCAAAGGATATAAATTTAAAAATAATTATTTTCTCTTTCTTAATTTTTAAAATTGTTAGTTTTTAACTTTATTCGGAATCGTCCAACGAGATGTCATATTCAATTTTTGATTCAAATAAAAAATAATATTAATACCCAATACCCATAGACCTTCCAATCCATTATAAACAGCAAAAATCCATTGTATAATTTTTGATGGTGTTAGAGTTTTATCTTTGATCATTAAATCTAAAAATGGTCCAAATATCCAAGCAACGCCTAATAATATACATAATGTAATCCATATCATTATTGAAACAATCGTTCGTTTTTCATTTGTTTGTGACATTTTACGCCTAATAAAAAATTGAATTAAACGAATTGTTATTCCAAATATAATTAATATATTTAACGCAAGAAAAATAATTAATGGTATTGAAATAAATCGAAATATATATGATTTATTAAACCAACAAATACTTTCATATTGTATAAATAAATTTGTCGATCGATGTATAATTATATTGATAACTATTGTTGGTATTAAAGCAATAAGAATGACAAGAAAAAAACTTGCATAAAACCATTTATTGAATATAGTTGTAGATTCAATAAAAATAAAATGAAAAAATATTGTTAAAAAATATCCAATACCAAGTAAAGTTTTACTTGCAAATGTTAATATGAAAAAAAAGTAAGTTGCAATAGCTAAATTTCTTGGTAATATTGAACATTTATCTTGATTTATTGATTCTGTATTTGATGATTTATAAGCACGAATTAAAATAACAGTTAGTAATGTAAATAAAATAATTGAATTTGATAAACTAAATATATTTGTTATTGATAGATGACGAAAAGATTTAGTTTGTCGATGTATTGAAAGAATTATTGATATAGAAAAGCATACTATTGAAAGTAGAGTCAAAATTATGCCTGGTATCATGATACTACGCAGAGTTTTATGTGGAATAAATATTAATGCAAAAGATGTTGTATGGTTACAAAAACAGAAATGACGTTTTAAATTGGAATCTAAAGAATAAGAACAACCGGTATTATTCCATCGATCATATTGCCAAAATGCACATGAATATTTTCCAGATGAAAGTTCATTGTCAATAAATGACATATTAATGAAACGTGGGGCGTTGTTCGGTAAATGAAGCCCTACAATAGGTGAAACTATAATTGTATTTTGATCTTTTTGTGCATAACGAAAAAGTGATGATGGAAGATAGTAAAATGTATAAATATCTGCTTTCGATAAGTTTTCGATTGATATTGGATAAATTGATATACTTGCTATTGAATTTGTATTAGTTGTTTCTGTTGAATAATGTAAAAATGAATTATTGTGATTGATTTGAGAATAAGAATAGATTGGATTAGTTTTTAAAGTACTTAAAATCCCAATTGAATTCTTACTGATGTTTATTGTAGTATTGATTGATTCAAGATAACGTTCAATATAATAAATAATTTTTTGAAAATTTTCTTGAATTATTTCAGTAACTGGCTGATCAGAGGTTTGACTTAATTTATTATTAGATTGATCGATTACTTCAGCAAAATCATCAATCACTGTTGTATCGGATAGATTAAATGTCAATAACTGAAAATAAAAAAAAAAAAACAATTTTCAAATCTATATAATTAAATTGATGATAGACATACTTTTTTGTAAATTTCCAATGAGATGCTTTCCAGATCAGAGACATTTGTTAAAAATGGCTAAAACAAAATCAAAAACTTTTTTGATAGTCGATAACAAATGTACAATGTTTTGTTTTATTCATTTATTAGAAGAATTCTTTTAAAAAGAAAAAGAAGTCGTATCTGTAGTTTTGACAATGAAAACTATTGTGATCTATATCAACTAAATCAAAACTACAATAATCATGTTTTCTTTTTCTCTAGTTGTTTCATCAGGAACGATTTCATATAGATTTATAATAGATCATAAATCGACAGAGTTTTCCTTCGTTCTGCAAGTCTATTAAATTCGAAATTTGTCACATATTAAATAATATGTAATTAATATATATAACTTAGTATGTTCGTATCTCGAGTCAACCTAATTGAACAAATTATTGTTAGAGTGAAAGATGTAATGGGTAGGATAGGGTAAGGGCTAGAAAATTATTCTTAGTCAGGAGTCCAAGGTACAAAAAAGCGTTTATCCCGCACATTTCTAGTTGAAGTGTTTTGTCAGAAAGATGTCTGGAGAACATTGAGCAGTTGCTGTGAAAATGAAAATTTTTTCTTGTCTGTCTAATGCATAAAAAAAACTTCTGTAAAGAAATTTCTAGGTGCTTCTATTCGATAGCTTCATCATACTTGATATGTATGAGCTAATCATCAATTGTTCTTGGCCCACAGGAATTTTCTAAACGAATACGTTAACTATCATTTCTGTTTAAGGATTGAAAAGTTTTAGATTTGCTATTATTGTTGAAAATTATATGTTTTTCAGATGCTGATAACAAAACATTGGTTCACAAGAAATCAAATCTATTGCGTTTTAGTTTTATGCTTACACAACTCTTAATGCTATAAAAATGTTTTAGTTTTTTTGGTTTTGAACAAAAGAAACAAGCTCTTCCACGAACGCTAAAAAGAACTAAATGATGAACAATATGAATGTCATAGTTGCTTGAAAAATATTAAAAACTTTAATTTCTCGTCGAGGGTTACATGAATTTTGGTCGAAGGACTTTTCGATCTTGATCCGACTCTTTCTCATTAATTTTTCTAAAACTCCGAAATCCTATGAAAAGTTGGTATAATTCGTGGTACTTAGCGGCATCCATTTTCATTAAAACATATTGACTTAGTGAATATAAAAATATTTTATTCAAAACATACCGGCTTTGAGAGTGGTTTCGACTGTTTAAGTTCACATAAACGTGGGTTGCTATTTGTAGAATTGAATGATGATTCATTATTACATTTTTTACTATAAATGATAGTTTGATCTTGATCACAGCTCCATGTTGTAAAATTGTTAGTAGAATCAATTGATACAATATATTGTTGTAAATAATATCGTTCGCATGAACAATTCCAATTAAGTAAACCTAGATTATTTTCATGTATTGTTTTTATAGCTTTCATCAAAATTCTATTATTGATTGAATTGATCTCTACACATCGGTTGTACATTTCAAAAATACTATCATCAAAATTAATTTTTGTTTGAGTATTACGTAAAAGAATTTGTTGAGTAATATCGGATTGATAATTTGAAAGATCAACATTATAATTATTCGTAAAACGAATTACTTGATTATTTGAATAATTAATGACATTTTTTATCTGAATTAACCATAATTCAAATGTTGTTAAATGATTTGAAGACACATCTAAGTTTTCTATATAGGAAATGTCATAAAACATCCTATAAGGTATAGAAGTTAAATTATTATTTGACAAATAAATTGATTTAAGACGAGACAATTGAGAAATCCATTGAACAGGAACTTCACTAATAAAATTATCACTCATATCAAAAATTTCTAATTTATATAAACATGATAAAGATGAATTCAACACAACATTAGTAATTTGATTCTTCGACACATTCAAATACTAGATTTCAAATAAAAAGACGTGATGAAATAGATATTAATTTTATTAATATTTACTCTGAGCTCTGTTAAACGACAAATATTATCTGGTATAAATGTCAATGGGCCGCGAAAACCCACTCCAATAACTTGAAAATTTCTAATACCATTCAAGATTGAATCTGCAAGGTCATCGATATCCAATTTTTCGATGGTTGTTGGGCTTGAACAGACAAATTCCATAGTTTGATCATTAATATTTCTTGTACATGGTGCTCTTGATTGACCATTTGATACAACTAAAACGATTATGCAAATAAACTTTAATATTCTATATTGAGACATTAGAACTAGAAGATCATTAACTTCATTTTAAATGGTTAAAAGGTTTTTTTTTCCAGACGGAAAAAACAAGGTAGGATTATTGACTTAACCTTTTTAATCCTTATGTAATTTGATTTCAATATTTACAGCTCCTCAATTATCCATGATAAATGAAACCTAAACTCTGTCAACCTACTCAAAGGTTTGACATATTTATTGACATCAAAGTTGATTTGTGATCCGTCAAAATCAACAAAGAAAGTGATGCCTTTATTTTTAGAATAAGATCACTTTCGCATAAATACCAAAAAAACCGACTAGCATTTCTAGATTTTGATTATCAAAAGGTATTTTTAATTTGAATTAAATATCTTCTTAATTTGTGTCATAAATTATTTGAAAATTTTCTTTCATCTTTTTGACTTTAGATAATTCTCTAATAAAATGATATATAACTATATTGAGGATACGAAATTCAAACAATTAGAATCAATACTTAAAGCAATCAGTCCGATTCCATTGGAATGAAAATGTCTCAGTAAACTGTTTATTTGCAAATAAAAACTTCCAATTTCTCTCTATCATTAGAAAAAAAAGCTTAGGTAAGCTTATCAAAAAAAAAAAGGATGGTATTTACAGTCGTGGACAAAAGTCCCGTACCACACCAAAACTATATAAATAGGAGCTGTTTGTCTTGAAACTTCTCTGTCACAAGTAGAACTTGATAAATCTTGATTGTAAGCAAGAGTTCACGCTCTATACTCTTAACTAGCCTGAAGTAGACAGTCAACATCGAGAAATTTTCCATGCTGCATCATCTTGAGCTAGAAAAAAGATCTATTGCATCGTAAATGGATGTTCCTTTGTTAAATAATGAACCATTCTCCATTAAACTACCAAATTGTGATACCATAAATCTAACCGTATTTGACTCGAATGTCGTAATAGCTTCAATTGTTTGCCTTCAAAATTGTGGCACAAAATGTCAGATTGCACCTAGTCCTTTTCTGAAATTTTCAGAATCAAAGCTGTTAGGAAAGTGTAGATTCAATAGTAGTCTACACCATGAGATCTACAGCTCATGGAAATCTTTAAATCAAATCAGATTGGGTTGCTCTTTATAGCAAGGTTAGGTCATCATCAAAACTACTTATTGTAGTAAAAATATCATCCTGATTCTATGAAATACAAAAAGCAGCATAATCTTTGCATATCACTATTTCACGTTTAGAAGTGACAAAAAAAAACTCACTCAATTTTTCAAAACAATTATTTTTCATTATATTGAGTTGGAATAAATTTCAAATGATCTCATCAACTTTGTAAACGACATTTTTCATCATCTTTAAAAGAAAATTTTCTTTTGATCTACAAGTAAAATTTCTTTTTACTCCACGAAAGTTCAATCGAAAAGCTCTCGAGAAACCATTCACAAGTACTAAGATAATGTATTGCGATGAAAAAGTATGAAGTAACACGATTTTTTATAACACAAGGACAAGAAGCATCTGCAACGGTGTTTATCAGATGATGAGATCATTTGAAATTTATTCCAACTCAATATAATGAAAAATAATTGTTTTGAAAAATTGAGTGAGTTTTTTTTTGTCACTTCTAAACGTGAAATAGTGATATGCAAAGATTATGCTGCTTTTTGTATTTCATAGAATCAGGATGATATTTTTACTACAATAAGTAGTTTTGATGATGACCTAACCTTGCTATAAAGAGCAACCCAATCTGATTTGATTTAAAGATTTCCATGAGCTGTAGATCTCATGGTGTAGACTACTATTGAATCTACACTTTCCTAACAGCTTTGATTCTGAAAATTTCAGAAAAGGACTAGGTGCAATCTGACATTTTGTGCCACAATTTTGAAGGCAAACAATTGAAGCTATTACGACATTCGAGTCAAATACGGTTAGGTTTATGGTATCACAATTTGGTAGTTTAATGGAGAATGATTCATAATTTAACAAAGGAACATCCATTTACGATGAAAGTTTTACTAGGAAACGAACAAAAGCCGAACTTTCCAATAATGGGTTGAATGTCTTTAGATCTTTTTTCTAGCTCAAGATAATACAATATGAAAAATTTCTCGATGTTGACTGTCTATCTTAGCCTAACTAAGAGGATAGAGCGTGAGCTCTTGCTTACAATCAAGATTTATCAAGTTCTATTTGTGATAGGGAAGTTTCAAGACAGAGCCCCTATTTAGATAGTTTTGGTGTGATACGGGACTTTTGTTCACGACTGTACATTACAATGTATAGCTATGAATTGCGTGCTATTTATTGTGAATTCTTTAGATGGCTAATCATGAAGATAAGTGAAGGTTTGTCATTTCCTTTTATCTTATGAATTATGACCGAACTGAAGAAAGATTCAAAATGAGAGATCATCGAATGTGATCGCGTCACAAACTATCCTACATTTACTCTATAAAAAAATAACTCTATATTGAAGAATTAATTGATTTTTCAAGGAGTTGACTTTAACCTAATTCTGTACTTTCATAAGACATTCATTTAGCATACATCAAAGTGCTCAATAATACAATAAAAAACAAAAATAAAGTATCAAATCGTTCATAAAATCTTACCCGCCATATAACAAATCGTAAAAAGCCAATAATGAGAGTGCATAGCTTTACTTCTAACCTTCATCATATGATTGAATGAAAAATTTTCGCTCCTTATTTATTGCCACCTACAAATCATATGAAATTTTATTTTCGCAAGTTTTAATATTGATCTTAAAACAAACTCACTAATCCGTAGAACAAAAAAAAGGTTTCAAATAGTCAAGCTTTCAGTACGCTAGATTTTTGTATGGAAGTCATGCATATTTTCGAAGAAAATGATAGTATGTGTAAGTTTAAATCGAAGCTATTGTGACTTCCTCTAGGTTCTAGCAACCAGAGGGCGAAGAATCAAAGAATTTTGAATTTGTTTCTCTAGCAACTGGAAAAGGCACATAAGTAATATCAGCACTTAGATCATTCTAGAACTCTGTAGAAGCTAACAAGTCTAAATAGAACGAATTTTGGTCTTTACTGCAACGATAGAATCTTATTATTGTAGGAATCAATTATTAGGACTGTGGCATTTTTAATCTAACGAATTCAGAACAGGATGAGGATAACGAAGTATGAACTGAATGAATTTTAAGTTTAAAAAAACCTCAATACTATATTTCAAAGTTCATTGAGAGACAGGATGGTGTGTGTGAAGCTTATTGAACGATTAAATCAATGTATTTAGCAGGCTAACATGATAGTTGAACTGACGAAGCAAAAGGTAAAATGATATTTGTCATTTTCTATAGCGTGTATCGTATGTATATTATCATTACGAGAAAAGAAGTTATGTATTGAAAATGTATCTGACAATACAAATAAGTTTTTACATTATAATGATGTTTAATGATTGAAATAAATTGATAGAAAAGTAATTCTAAATGGAAATAGTTTCGAAATAAGAATATTTCAGAGCGTATCTATCAATTGTAAAATTTGTTATTATTTCGTTTTACTTATTTATTTGGCATTTTTTTTAAAGAAATTATTTTAAAATCTTTAACAATATATCATAAGTTTGCAAAAGTCAGAGTTTGTGAGTTCTACATTTCAGCATCGGAAAGGGCTGCACTGATAAGTTTGTTTTTCTTTTTTTTAGATATTCACGTATTTTTATTGAAATAAAAGACGTAATTCCTCTCTGAACATGCTTGATGTAGCTAAACAAACAAAAAAAGGTGTTGAACATGAAAAATATTCAAGACAGTCAATAATAACTTCAGCTAATTGTATCTTGATTGATTTTGATGCTCCATTTTTTTCTTGATCGCGTACAACTTTATCATGTCGTTCAACAATTTTAAAAAACTTGTATGGTGCTGTACTCAATACGAATACAAATGATATACAACCGAGTGCAAATGTTAAATGAAGACGACGATGTCTAGAACGAGGACATGCAAAAATAACGGTTCGAGGTCGATTTAAATCTTGATTTTGTCCTGGTTTTAAATTTATTATTCTTGTTAATGTACTCCAACATTCAGGACGTAAACGTAATACTTCTCTTAAAATTCTTGAATTAAAATAAACTATAAGAAAAAATGGTATACATGTTATAAAAATAACATCAATGAAAGATTGTCCATAAGCCATATATATTGTAAAATATTTTGCTTCTCTTTTAACTGAACATTTAGTAACATTACGTTTATGACTTGGCGATCTATAGCCATATAATGAAGATAAAAATGATGAATTTTTTAAAATAATGAATAGAAATGCTGTAATTAATAAATAATAAAGATAATTTTTTTTACGCCAATGTGAATAATATGTATGATGAACACAACATATGAAACGATCAGTTGTTAAACCTAATTGTAAATAAGCTGACATATCCAAAAATGAATAACGAATAAATTTATATAAACGGCATGTTCCTGGTGTTGAATAAATACGTTTTGATGGTTCCATATAAACTTTTAATAAAACATCAATTATAAATAAATATAATAAAATTAAATCATTTATACATAATAAACGTAGACATATTGATGATGTACGTGTTAAACGTTTTTGAAATATTGGTCGACAAAAAACAAGAAAACAAAGTAAATTACCAACTGTTGCTAATGGTAATATAATTAATGGAAATATACTATTCGTTAGTAGAATAGCATTTTCTATACGTTTGTTTGATAATGAAAAGTTCATTGTTATGTGTGAACCAGTTCTTGGAATAATGCCATTATCATGAATCAAAAAAAAAATATCTAATTCTGATTAGATGTTGAATTTGTTTTTCTTTTTCCTCTCTGCATTCATTTCCTCTATTTGTCTAATAATAAACAAGGATTGTAATAGTGCACCATACTGTGATTTTGTTGTTCACATTCTAATTAACAAATACATTTCCGAATTACAGAAAAAATAAAATGGAAATGTTCTTGTTAATTTTATCTACACATATTGACTAGAATGTTCATTCAAATGTGTTTTATTTCGTAGGCATTTGTATGTAATCTTATTTTCTCTTTCTTCTTCTCTTTTTATTTATAACAACTATAATAATATTTGATCGATAAGGAAAAATGAATAGAGGGGTTGATGAACGCATAAAACAGGTCAACATTGATTGATCAAATGTATATCTATACATTAATTGTATTGAAATGATAAAGAACAAAAAAAGAAAGAGACAATATCAATGTTCGAAATTCATTTTTTTCTAATCATCGGTTCAATCAGTTCAATCGTTAACAGAGTGAAGAAGCAAACATATTTTCTTTATATTGTTGATGACAATTACGTTCATATATTATTAACGCAAGTTAACCATAGACACAATTGAAAAGTGAAACATCATCTCATTATTTATGACATATATTCACCTTCATAAGTGATAAATAAATGAGCATCGTCAGACAGGTCGTTGAATACAAAGCCATAAAGTCAAATACAATGATTTTATTTTATGACAACTAATACGACTAGGTAATATAAACATTTTATATCAATGCCAATGATGAAAACGAATAATTATTTGATAAACCTCTTTTGTAATTATAATATTTCTCTTGTATATCAGATAAGAAAAAGAAAGCAAAGAATCTTTCATAAGTATTAATATGCACACCTTGTGGTATCCTTGATTACGATTCGTTCTACTTCAACGTTTTTGCGGTTTGTTGTTCACATCAGTATTCTCACTTTTTTTTTCGTATCATTCAACTCACGTACATTTATACAACCTTCATCGTACATCGTCGCATTTTTTTCGAATATATATTTCTATAAACATGATTCTTTTTTATTTCTAATTTTGAATATACATCAATGAACTATATTCCATAGTAATTAGAAACAACTAATTAGACACACAAATAGCTATGTTGAAAAAATATTCATCATGGGCATCAATGCAATCTTCACCTTCAGTGATCACCGATGTGACCATGATAAAATCAGTACTAGTGAAAGGTGATGAACAAGAACAACAATCATGTAAATATTTAGTTATTTAAAAAAAATACTTTCAATCACTTTTTTTATTTATTTAGCTAAAAACTTCGAAGAAATTGAAGCTAGTTCACATATGCATATTAATGATGATATACAATCATCATCGGTAAGTGAATATTCTTTTATTCATATGCATCTATGCTTTTGCTCGAACATATCTAATGCTTAATATGAATAGACAAGAATTAATACTCGAGCTATACAACCAGCTATGATTTCAAAACAACGTGTATCTTTTTTTGCTGTAAGCTTTGTAGTTTTAATATTTGGAATGATTTTATTGAAGACAATTCTATAATAAAATTTTGTTTGTTAGGCACCCATAAGTATTTCATCTTCAACAACAAATGAACCAAATAAAGTATGTTCAATTGAAAAACCATCAAAAGTTTCATCATCAACGATGAAACGAAATTCTAAACATAAATATCGTCACTATCATCATCGTAATCGTCATCATAATCATCAGCAACGAGCAAAATCTGTTGGACAACAACCAAAACTTCTTTCTCCATCAAAATTTACAATTAAGAATTCAAAACATGTTGATCAAAATCAACAACCAAAGATTATCTATCCCAGAGTATCTAATAATACAGATCATTCAATTGACATGAATGGTTTAGTAAAATTTTCTCGTGAAACTGATAATAAAACAGCATCAATTGATGATCAAAAAGCACCTTCAGTTGTCAATCGTGATGTTGATATTCAACGATCAATAGTATCCAAGAGCATTTGTCAATCAGTCTTGCCTAATAAAGATCAAGAAAAAGTAAGTTTATGATTCATTGTTTTATGTTCTATTAATATTCATCGTTGAATCTGATCGTATTCTATAGAAAACAAGTCGAGGAAATATTCCATTAAAAACTATTGAAAATAAAATCGTTTCTCAACGAGTAGCACCTACAAATGAAACTCAAGTTGGTAATTATTGTCCAATGTGTTGTACTCAATCTACTCCTTCATATATAAATCCATGCTGTGTTGAACCAACTGAACGGATCTATGTTGATGATAGTTGTTGTATTCCATCAACAACAATCAATTGTGGTGCATCAAATTCTTGTGTATGAAAACAAAAACAGCTGCATTAGATAGACTTGAATTTTTGTTTATGGTTTACTTATGCTTTCATTAATATTTACTTATTTTTTGCTTAAATTTGTTTGTATTTTTCAATTTTTATTTTATTCAGGTAATTCCACAATATGATCCAATTGTTTGTGTCCCTCAACAACAACACCAGCAACAACAAATAATCATATGTACTGATCCTATGCAACAAACATTATCACAACAACAATATGTTTGTCTTGAAAATACACCACAAATATCTTTTTGTACGCCTTTATCAGCAAATTCATCGCCACAATCTTTAATATGTGTACCACAAACACCATGCCAATCAACTTCAAGTATTGTTATTCAACAACAACCTCAAATACAAGTTTTACCATTACAAATTATTTCAAGTTCACAAACACCAGCTGCACAATGCATGCAAATATGTCCAAATACTCCACAAGCTCTTCAAACACAACCGACTATTCAAAGTAGAAATTTATTTTTTTAAATTTTCTTATATTAATAATTAACACTTTTTTTAAAGTTTCTACACCAAATGTTACAGGTAAGAATTAAGCAAAAACCTTTGTTTTTGGTAATAGTCTTTGATCAGTATACTAACATAGTCTCTATATCTAACTGTTTTATTTATTTAACAGTAAGTAAAATACATAATTATCTAACATTTGATTTCATTTTCTTATTTATTTTAGTTACTCCACAAGTTCTTTATCAACGTCCATATGATACCGTTGTTTTACCAGCTCAAAAGCAACAACTAGTTTGTGCAACTCCTCCTGCTGTAGCATTGAGTCGGCCATCCTATGCACCGGTGTGTGTTGCACCAGCACCACGACCGTCCGGACCAACCATGTTTCGTAATGCTCTTATTCGAGTATGAATTTTCCTTGATTTGACAAACTCTAGATGGCTATAATTATGTAATATTTAGACTGTTGCTCAAAAAAGTGGTTTACAAATCGCCGTTTGTGCACCTGCACAACAGTCAATGGTTTGTAGGCCTGCACAACAGTCAATGGTTTGTACACCTGCACAGCAGCCAATGGTCTGTACACCTGCATCACAACCAATGATTTGTGCGCCTGCACCACCACCACCACAAATGGTCTGTGCACCTGCATCACCACCAATGGTTTGCACTGCAAGGTAATTTTTTTTTTATTGTTAATCGCTATTATACGTGCCTACTTAATTACGCTTTTGTTGCTTATCAAAGCAAGAAAAAAAGAGCTTTTTTCTCTGAAATATTGGATGATGTATTTGGAAAGGAATGCGCTGCTAAGCTTTTGCTTAAAAAAAACATTTCATGATTGGTTACTATTCCAAACAGATATCTCGTGTTTATAGTCCTTTATTAAACGATGGTTCACAACGGTCGGCATCCATGCCAATCGTACCGCTTACTCAGGATGGCTTACTTATTCCATTTGAGGCATCTGATCCGTGGAAAGGTATGACACGTGGTGCACTTCCTCGAACAAATCGTTACCCATCAAATCTAAAAAGTTTTAATGATATTCAACAACAGATACAACAACGTGCTCAGCTATTAGCTGGTTTTCAAAAACTACGTGCGGATCAAGTAGCATCGGCTGCCCTACATTCACGAAATGCACCAGCTCGATCAGTACCTACATTTTCCTCAAGTTTACCACGACCAACATCTTCATATTCATCAGGTTTATCGCGACCACTTCCTACATTTTCATCAAGTATGCCGTTACCACCATCAATAAACAGGTCACAACCTCCATACACAAGTGGAAATGTTATTTCATCTAGTAGTAGTTCAAGCAGATCGTCGGCTTCATCTACAAGACCAATGTCATCAAATCGCCCACCTACATTAGGTGGCCCCTATGGACAACCATCCTTCGGTGGCTCACGTGGTCAGTACATGTTATCAGGGCCATCAGCTGCCTATCAGTCGCTTCAACCCTGAATTTGTCGTGAAGGTATTGTATTCACTTGACGCAATAAATTATTCGTGACAAGGTCGCTCTTGTCACCAAGGATGTCTGTCATGATGCATGCATTCTCTTGCTTTGGCTGGCTGGCTATACGTTTGTATTTTGTTTCTTTTTCTTAACCTTTTGATGATTATTTGTTTAAAGAAAAATGATCTTGAAATTTGTTTTTCTCTTTTTTAGGCGACAACTCCATCAATTCAATCCAGATGCTTGTTCAATCATGTAAAACTATTTCAAAAAAGACAAACAATCTGTTAAAACAAAAGAATATTCTTTTGTTTAATTTTTTTTAAAATTATAATCTCAATAAACATTTGTTTCTATTTCTTCTTATTACGGACTTAAAATGTATCTTTGTCTTTTTTTTCATTGATTTGAACAAAATTTTAAATTTTACAATGAATCTATTTTACGTTGAAATTTAACTATACATGGTGCTTTAGGTCCAACAACAAGTGTTGAATAATCTGGTTCAGGATGTTCTTGACAAAGTTCAAAATCAAATTTTCTTAATAATATTGACCATATGGTTTTTACTTGTAAATAAGCAAATCTTTCACCTAAACAACTATGTCGACCTCCACCAAATGCTATGAAACTAAATTTTTCAATTTGGTCTTCAGCATTTTCGCCTAAAAATCTTTCTGGATTAAATTCATCAGGATTTTTAAAAACATCAGATATTCGATGAGCAATTGATGGTGATACAACAACAATATCACCTTTTGATATAACATATCCATTATATGATATTGGTTCTAATACTTTTCTCATTAAAAATACTAGTGGAGGATATAATCTTAATGTTTCTTTCATAACTGCATGTAATAAATGCATTTCGGATAATGAATCTAATGATAATTCTCCATGATATTTATTCATAATTTGCTTTTGTTCATCTAATAATTTAGACATCCATTTTGATTTATATTTTATTAATAATAATCCCATCCAAGTACTTGTAATATTTGATGTATGTTGTCCAGCAAATAAAGCTGCTAATAATAATCCAGTTATTTCATCATCGGTTGGTAATGAATCATCTAAATATCGTGCATCAATTAATACTTGTAAAAAATCATCATATTCAATTTCTTGATTTATTCGACGTTGTTTAATAATTGTTTCAAATATTTTTGATATTTTATTTCGAGCTAAATTACGTTTCTTATGTGCATTCGTCGGTGCATTTGGAAAGAAAAATGATAAATGACTCATACCATCAGATAATTGTTGATATAAATGTGCAAATTCTTGATGAACATTTTCTCGAATTTCTTTACCTAATAAACATCGAGAAGCTGTTAAAATGATTAATTCAGAAAATTCTTTCATTAAATCAATTTGTCCTGTTTGAGGCCATTTATCAAACCATTCTTCAGCTTCCATAACTATTTTACCAACATGAGCTTTCATATTTATTAGATTTAAACCTTTATTCATAAATTTTAATTGTTGTTGCATGATTTTTGGTGATGCATCATAAACAATATTTTTACCAAAGACAGGTATTGTAAATGTATAAACTTCGCGTTGAGATAATTGTGTATCTTTTACTTCAAAAAAAACTTGATGTGCTTGTGGACCAATTAAAAATACTGCAGATCGATGAAATAATTGTATTCGAAATATATCACCTAAAGTTTTATAACCATCTTGAATAAGTTCAAGTGGACCTTTATTAATAAAATCATATTTACGACGTAAAATTGAGAATAATATAGGAAAACGAGGTGGAGCACTTGATGGTTTGGAATAAAATATGTAATATATTACGGTTAATAATAGAAGAAGTATGACTAAAATAATGCTGCTAGTTGTTAATGTTATAATAGGTAATGTAAAGAAATTCAAAAGTCCAGATGATAATGTTTGTATCATGTTTAAATGAATTCTAAATTGAATGACTTTTGATTGTATATTTTAAAAATCAGCTAATACATAATATAGTAACACAGTTGAACTTCGTTTTTGATGTACTACTTAGCAGATGAAAAAGATTCTTCTTGTTCTGTGCGTACACAAATATGTTAAATGAATACTGTTCTTCTTCTTTTTTTTTCTTATCTTTTATATGTGTATATAATGTTATTTGAGTGTTTTCGAGGTTGTATGGGGTCAGACGAAAAACTGGCGTGATCCTAAAGTCAACTCCATATTATATTAATGTTATAGATGATGGAAGGAATCTATGAATAGTTACCGCTAGCGAACGATGTATTGTTCGCATACATCTTTCATATAGTTGTAATAATAATAATCATAATAATTTGACAGACATGAAGATCTACTGATTTAATAAGTTCAAAACATGTGCAAAGGAATTTTTTTCTACTTGAAAACAGATTTTGAGATGAAATATAGAGGATAAAAAGATAATCTGCTTATGCTGATTTCGACTATGAAAATGAAATTCGGTTTTTCAGAAAATTCTTTTCCGTGAATAAATATTTTCGATGTATCTCAATTGTTTTGCACATTGTGATATGTACAAAACGAAAACTATTTGGCTCTATTTTCGATCATTGGGTGAGCGCAAGATAAACTTCACTCGACTAAAGACCAAATCATTAGCTTAATGCTAGAAGTTTACATTTCATTTTTCTCTAAAACTTAAGGAAAACGTACATTATTAGCTCTGTAATTCTGTCTCCTTTATTTTATCTTGAATAATTTATTTTTCTTGTTCTAGGGTGAATGAAAGTGTGAGTCCGGATAACAGAAAGATTCATTTTCACATTCATCCTACAACCAGAATCACGCACACCTCACACTCCTCAAGATACATTCAACAAATTCATTTTATAAAACGTTACTTGAAATAGATGTTGTTTTCCATGGTTCAAGTAAAATTGTTTCAGTAATATCCGTATGCAAATACAGCCAAACAATAATGATATTCGTTTCCCAATAGAAATACATATGAATTACAGTTTTAATTACTTTCATCATTGAATAATGATCACTTGTATCGTGACAATTGTGTTTCATAGTAATCGATTCTTCTTTAGTAGAAGCATCAATATGATGATGGTCATGATGCGTATCATGAGAGACATTAATCATATTTTGTACATCGTTGTGACTCATATCTGATTACAATAATTTTTTTTTTCTTACCTATTCCAAGGTACCAAGTACGACTATATATGTGTCAGTAGTGTAAATCTGCAGGAGCATGATAGAAAACAAAATTCTCAAAATAAATGCATTTAATATTACATTATAAATGCGATAGAAGAAAAAAAAATTAGTTATACTATTTGTAGAAGAACGATCATTTGTTTATCATTTATACTAATATGCGGTACAAAAGTCTTTGCACAAATGTTACACTCTGCTAGACTTAAAGAAAGTTCTTGTAACGTTTTTGCAACTTGAAAAGTTTCTATTTCTCAATTATTTTGAGCTATATAGACCGAATTCTAACAAAAAAATACACCAACATGTAGCGCATAAAAAACTCTATCAATATCAGCTTTGGTGAAATTTTTTAGATTCATCCGAAATATGGTAGATCAGGGAAAGTTAACAAAAAACAAACCACAATTCAAAAAATATGTTTTATTGTTGCAAAATGATCAGGTAGTAGGAACAACCAAATTATACATTCTCTTGCAGAAAAAAAACTTTACTTTTGATATAAAAACCAAGAGTAAATTTAATTTTCAATACACCATTAGTAAGAGTACTCTTTATGCTACAAAAATTATCATTAAACGTGATTTTTCATTTCGCTTCTGATATAAAAAAAATTAACAGAAAACCAAAAAATGGTGTTGCGTGATGGTGAAGTTTCCAGAACTTTTTTTAGAGATGTTTAGTTTTTGATTTTTCCTCCTTCTTAGAATTGTTCTGGAAAAACATGTCTGGTACAAAATTTGTAGTTCAGATTTTGCTCTTTCCAACAAAAGAAAATTTTGATTAGTTAATAAGTTGACAAGTTTGACGTTTGTGCAAAGACTGTGGCCCCGTATATTATATAATGGTCAACTTGTTTAAATTCACTTATCACTTATACGAGGGAATTATCAGAACGGATATACGCTGTTGGACCTCAAATTGAGTTCAGAAGAAGGTGTCGGTGAGAAGTAGAACAATCCTAAAAGGGTTCGTACCCATGAGTCTTTCGAATAGACTTATAATCGTTTTACTGAATTTTCTAGGGATGCAACAAATCTTGAAAAGATTTGGGATTTGGCGCCAAATATTTGGATTTGGACTTGGATTTGGAGTTGGGTTTTGGATTTAGATATGGTTCAGATTTAGTTCCTCGATGTGAATTTCGTTTACATTTGGGTCTCAGAACTGCTGCTATCGCTTTGTTTGGCTTAGATTTGAGATTCCGGATTGATGTTACGCTTGGAATTGGAGATTTGGATTTGGACTTGTGATTTGGTTTCAATCTAACATGACTCCAACTTTGCAGTCGTGTTGCATTGAAACCTAATCTAAATCCCCAAATTCAAATCCCACCCAAAAAATCAACCCAAATACTACATGCCAAATTCAAAATCCATATCTACGACTCAAATCCAGATCTAAGACTCAAATCCAAATCTATACCAAATCCAAACTATTTCATATCAATTTATAAGACTTATGATTCTTTTTTTCCTTCTGGAAGTTTATCTTGTAAAACCACATCATCTTTGGGTAATTTAAGACCAAATCCAAATCCCAGTCGAGAACCAACCAAAATCTTTTTGTACCAGATCCCAAGGCCTTCAATTTGTTTCACCCCTCGAAGTTTCGATGCAGCTTTAGGGATTTAACGAAAAATCAAATAACATTTTTTCGATCTAAAATTTCGTCCATAAAAAGGTCAAGTGATTAGTAGAATATTCTGAAATCTTCAGCCGAAAAGAATGCTCATTTATCGAGATAATGAATTTCCAAAATGAGCTCAAACGGCGAATGTCAATTTGGGAATTTTTCTCGTCAGTTTTTATCTAGGCAATTCGAGTAGTGC